AACTTTTAAATAATATGTTTTATTATTGTCTTTTATTTTTAATGGGCACCGCATTGATTCAAATATTTAAAATAAATAGGTTTATTATATTTGTTGGTTTCTTTTTTACTTTTTTTATGATAAAAGAAAGAGTAGATTTTTCGTTGATCCGAGTTGATTGAATTTTGGCTCATGGCTATGAATATAGCTTTTGTTTTAGTTTGAAATGTAATTGCAAGTCGTAGTCTTGTTTTCAGCCTGATGTAAGCATGAGCTGAGACTAGTTCAAGTAATTCAGAGTGTGGGTGTCGCTAAGTGGAGAGAAGACTCACACCCATACCCGAATCATCACGTACTTTCATTCGATGATCTATATTACGTCTCAAAAGTAATTCTATTAAATCATAAGAAAAAGCATCGCTAGATTCTCGTATTCGTTGATTCATTTGTTTATTGATTACTGTTGTTTCACTATTATAAAAATCTGATGTCATTTTAAGTATCACCAAGCAGCCCACTATAGACTTTGATGACTGTTTTTCATCGATAATAAAATTATCAACACATTTGATGGCATCAAAAAACATTACTGTTGGTTGTTTGGTTTTGTATGAATTTGTTGATTTAATCTTATAGTTTTGGTCCTTTGCGGTCATATAGTCATCATTTATGTTTATCCAATCACTATGTAGATTAGTTTTAAACAACTATGTTAATGTTAATATCAAATTATTATTTGTATGAGACTTAATTGAAAATACATAAGCTGATGTTATTTTATCGTTGACATTGTCTGATTCTAATTTAAAAGGTTCGGTTCGAGATTTTTCAAATACAGCTCGGCTTTTGTCCGGTTGGTTTCTTAGTTAAATTGATATAGTTTAAGTCAGTGTTTTAACATGTAAAATAAGGAACTAGAACGAGGAAAGAGGTCCTTAGTAACAATAGCAATACTGATATGTTTTTTTTATCGTTCTTCTAAAAGAGGACGTAAGCAAACCAATCATGCCTTTAGTTTAGAAAAAAAACATTTATTTAGATACTTTTATTTTGAATTCAACACGATATGAATATTTCTCCCTTGGTAAATATAGATAATGTTATCGAACTTGATTCTTCATCATATTGTGAAAATGTTCAATTAAATGCTTCATCCTCTAATTCTTCTTTTTCATCGATTCATGTAGCAAGCGTGTCCGGTTGTTATCAATCTTCATCTGCTGAAAAAATTAGTTCGAACTTAAAACTTAATAAAAAAAAAATTGGATGAGTACTGATGTGAAAGACAAAAAAATCCGATTGTTGGAAATGTTTCGGTATTCCCGCTCTAAAACTTGATGAAGAAAAAAGTAAATTATTTGAAAAATTTGTATCGCGCACGTATTTTTATACGACATATTCATATTCACCCAGCACGAGAAACATGAATAAACATAGTCGAATTTGTAATGGATTTAATTCCAGTGAAACTCATTTTATAACATCAACAGGAAATAATTCTTTACAATTAATTAATTCATCATCATCATCACCTTTAATATCATCATCTTCATCTTCTTCAAATAACAAAACTCTTGAATCACACAAAAAAATGACGAATTAGTTAACTGTACTTAGTTTTAGTTATCCTTAGTAGACTTCCAAAAACACAGTGTTTTTCGGTTCGGTTTAAATGTTGAAAAACCTGAACCGATCCCATCTCTGATATGCAAGCAAAACAAAGAGAATCATTATGAAAATCTTAGCAATCGGTTACAATAAAAAAACTTAATACTTGCAAGTATAAGTCATATAGAGATACAAGAGAGAATGAGCATGCGGAATATCAATTGACAAGAGTATCAAACCACGACTATGTTGAACGATTTTTGAAAACAATAGAAAAATATATGTCACGAAGGATATTGTTAGTATATATGAATAAGGGGACAGAAAAAAGTATCCATACACGACTCAAATACTTTAATGTTGCATATAAGAATCGATCAATACGGGGAAAAATGCTTGATATTAGATAAGTGTGAAACAGGTGTAGCAGTTAAATTAGACAGAGAAAGAAAGAAACACTTCATGCAATTACATAAAAGAAAAAAAAAGAAGAGATTAACAATGACAAACAAAAACAAAACACTGTTTATGACTAACAAGTATTCGTTTATTTTTCTCTTTCTTGTTGTAATTGAATATAAAACAAATTTGTCTAACGTTTAATTTTTAATTTGTCAACGTCATTGGCCAACTTATCGGATGTCGTCGATGTTTGATGTGACGTAGTGCCTACCTTAATACCACGTTTTTCAAGTGCTTTAGCTACAATTTCTTTACATTCATCAAATTCTTTTTCTACAGCTAAATCATATGCATCTTTTCCTAGATATAAATAAAACAAAAATTTGACAGCGAATTTTTTTTCTTTTTTTAAAAACCTTCATCATTTCGGGGTGCACGGTCAGCACCAGCTCGAATAAGAGTTGTTAAAATTCTTAGTTTATTAAAAAAACAACCAACCATTGCAGCCGTGTTATTTTTCAAATCTTGTGCATTAACTTTAGCACCATGCCGTAATAATAATTCGACACATTCTGGACTATCAACTATTGCTAAACATTATTTTATTACAATAAATTATTGTTTTTGCAACCACTCGTAAAAGATGTCACAATAGATACACCGATTTCTTTCGATTGTCTTCTTCAGATTTGTGTGAAATTATTCTGGTTGGATCATTTCCGAGAACTCATCGAATTCGAATCTAGAGTGAGCTGAGATGTTTTAGTAGAGAATTTGAAATGAAAATTAGCTTCAAATAACGGAGCAGACAACAGTTTTGTTCTGTTTGTGTGTTTTTTTAAAAAGAAATCGAAGCTTCTTTTTCAAATAAAACGAATAGGAACAAAAAAATCTCGATTAAATTGTTAATATTTGTTGAATGTTGCCTTGAATTCAGACTCGGAGTTCTGCATCGGCGTCGTCCCTTGCCGGATCAACATTTTCTCCAGAATTGTCTCTTTGAGAAAGGTATTCGATAGTTGTCACCCTTCGAGACCAGATGCTACATAATACATTGATTTAAACTCTTTCAGTTCTAGTTGGATCTATCTGTTCCATTTTAATAGGGTCGGTCAAGTTCATTCAAAGTTCAGACTTAAGCTTGAGTCGAGATCCAAGGTAACATTCGATACATGTAATAATGTCGATCGAGTGTTTTTTTAATGCTGTTCTTTCTATTTAAAAGATAATTATTTTGTATATATTAAAAAACAACCTGCATCCTAAGTATCGTAATAAATATTATAATGCAGTCCGTACCATCCATTTGAAATGCAGATCCGACGAGCTGTATTGAAATTTCAACTCATAATTGGACTTGAAAAGAGTCAATATTTGATGAGATCTATCCTCAATTAGGATGTCATTGATAGATGACTCCTCGATATTTTGTATATTATCATGAGACTTACCAGCGCTGGCAAAATGAAGACCTGTACCACCTTGATCATTACGATGATTAACATTAGTTTCTTTATGACTAAGTAAAATCCTAAGAAAAAAAAAGCAATATAAAATGAAATAATGTTCAGCTTTGTTCTTACTGAACAATACTTTTTCGATTATGTCGAGCTGCAATACTCAGTGGTGTATCACCCATAAAAGCAACATTTGGATCTACACGTGATTCCATTAATACTTGAACGCATTCAGGTCGATCATGAATAACAGCTCTAAAAATATAAATGATTTCTTTTTTTAATGGTATCGATTTATTTGTTTTACTTATGAATAGGTGCCATTGAACTTCGATCTAAATGATTAACTTGTGCACCATGTTTAACTAATAAACGAATTAAGTCAGCACGGTCTTTGTGCTAGATATAGAAAATAATATCTATTTAATATCAATTGTAAATATTATATTTACTCGTAAACTTTGTCCATGATATTCAGCATCACATAAAACATGAATAGGTGTTAAATGATGTTCACTTTCTGTTTGATTTGGATCAGCACCATTCTTTAATTAAAAAAAAATAAAAATAAAAGTAAAATCATTCTAATATTTATCTTTGTTACTTCAATAAAAAATCGAATAATATCAATATCGCCTTCGAAACAAGCAATTATCAATGGTGATACTTGAGCTATAGGTGTTCCCGTTTGTTCATGTAAAACTTCACAATTAATACTTGGATCTTTCAAAGAAAAGCAAAAACTTTGAAAGAAGAAAAAAGAAAATTTTAATGACATGATACTTGTGCCTTTTTTGATTAAATCACGAAGACCTTTAAGGCCCCCCCCCCCCCTAAAAAAGTCAATTTTGGTCAAATCCATCAATTTTGTGATTCATAGCTCATTAGATAGAGCTAAGTGTCTACTTTCGAATGCACTATAGTTTATTGGTTTTATGATGAGTTTTAAGGATATTACATAGGTTTTTCTGAACCCTCCCACAAAAGAAAATAATTTTTTTTTAAACTTTGATTTTCAAAGTCTTCCAAGCTTCTCTACCGTCTTTTAACAGTGATGTACATAGTTGTCGTGCAGCGCTATACACGATAATTGAATAGAGCATTCGAACGTTAAAATTCACAGAATGGAATGAAACTACTATGCATTGATTCATAACTACATCTACATTGGTAGAGTAGATATTCAAAAATTTTTGGGTATTATTCCACCAATGTAAAATAGGCTGTGAATCACTGTTTACTTGCTTGTTTTTAAAAACAAGAAAAAGTATGAACTATAATGTCTTATTTGTGATCGTTGCACTATATTTTTAGATAGAAATTCGTGTTCTACTCTGTTCGCACTAGTGATTTTTATTATTACTCATTATAAAAACTTTATATATTAGTGTATCAAGATTAGAAAAAAAATTAATGGGTAAAGTAAGCATTCGGCACAAAAAAAAGAGTACAAGGTCCATCATGAGACGGATTCGCTCGAAGAGTGTAGAGCCCAAAACAGTTGATTCATCATCAGCTAGCAGTGATGAAGATTCAGTCATGTCGGTTCAAAATCAATTTACATCAAGTACAGATAATGCTGATGATATGATGAATTTTTATTTAATTATTCATATGCAATCTTTGATCTTATTGCTGAAACAAACTTTATGTTCTGAATGTAATAATTATTGGAATGGATCTGCGTCGATCAAGCAAAGGGATGGATTATATATGCATATTGAATTCATGTGTTCTAATTGCAGGTTCATCACTCATTTACATTCATCACCACAAATACCGAATACTAGACGTCGAGAAATTAATATTCGATTAGAAATTGGTGGTATTTTGTGTGGTTTAAGTCATGGTGGTGTAATGAAATTTTTAGGTGCTTTAAATCTACCACCACCAGTTCAAGAACAGAGATATAGTGAAGCACAACAATTTATCTGGAATTATGTAACAAAAGCTCAAGAAGAATCAATGACTGCTGCTGTTGAAGAAGCAATCGTCGAAGGTGGTGGTATGCGAGAATTAACAGTAAGTGGAGATGGTGCGTGGCCTACACGTGGTTATTCGAGTGTTCATGGAATTGCAGCTCTATGCTCAACAACAAGTCATCCAAAAGTGTTAGACGTAACGTGGTCATCCAAAAAATGTTCTAAATGTCAAGGAGCAGAGAGTCTGCGTTATGCAAATCCCGATTTATTCTTGATTTTTCAAGAAAATCATGATTGTCAATTGAATTATGCAGGTAGCGTCATATGTATTATAAATTATCTTATCATGAAAATCTCTTTATTTTAGGATCATCAGGTGGAATGGAAAAAGAGATGATTCATGAGATGTTTTGTCGATCATTACCAAAATATAATATCAAATATACTTCTTATATCGGTGATGGAGATGCCAAGGTGCATAAATACTTGGTGGATAATCCTTCTTATTCTGATGTGAATATTAAAAAAATCGAGGATACGAATCACTTTGCCAAAAGAATGCTGACCCGCATTATGAAGATCAAGAAAGAAAATGCAAATAAAATTTTATCTGATGGTAAAAGATTTAGTGGTAAAGGTCGAATGACTGATGCACAAGCTGTTAAATTTAAAATTTACTTTGCCAAAGCAATACGTGAAAATAAAACTGATTTGAATAAACTTTATCAACGATCATGGGCAATTTTTAAACATCATTACTCAACAGATGAACAACCTATGCATGAGTGGTGCGATTTACGGTGGTGCAAATATCTGCAAGCAACAGCAAATGGTGAAAAATTTAACCACCATTCGCAAGTATGTATTCCACGTGCATGTTTAGATATGATCAAGCCGGTGTTCGATGAGCTATGCACGCAAAATAGTTTAGCACGTGTGATAGGTGGTGGTTCTCAAAATGCCAATGAATCTTTCCATTCGTTATTGTGGACAATAGTTCCAAAGAATCGTTATTGTTCATCGATAAAGCTTCGTATTGGATTGGGCTTATCAACAATTATTTACAATGATGGTTATGAGTCATTGAATAAATTATTGACAACTATTTTTTCTTCGATGGGTCATTATTCTGCTGAGTGTTTTTATAAACTCGATGCAATGAGAAAATCTTCTGCTTCAAAAAAAAAAAAACGTGTGAAAACATCACAAGCAGCAGCAGCAACCACTACTAGTATTTCTTCAAGCGAGAGTGATAATGAAAATTTTCACACTGTAAATGAAGAAAATTTTGATGATATCTCACATGATTTAACCATATTTGAACAAATGGAAAGTGATCAAGATGAATATGATGATAATAATGATTATGAACCAGGAGGTGATGATTGATTCTCGATATATTACCATCATTTGTTTTAGATTTTTCATTTTTCTTAACTTTAAAGAACTATTTTCTGCATTACATTGTTATTTTTTTCTGCTTGTCTTTCAGAGAAACTCATGTGAAATTTTATAAACACTACTTCTATGTAGTATTGGTATCACTTCATTCTTTCATTAGTTATTATCTTCTTATTTCTTTTTTTTTTTACTTTGGCTAGACTAGTTAATAAACTTTTTTTAAATAACATTCTTAATCATGATGATTACAACATGTTTTGAAATGTTTTAGATAATTTGAAAATACTGCTTCTACATGATGTATATTTATTTAGATGGATTTACAGGTTTTTTGACAGGTGATTTTTGTTGACATCTCGGTACACGTAATATGCCCATGTGAAAACGAAAAAAAGTTGTCTTGAATATCTTTATATATGTTCATTACATTCGTTCTAATCGTTAGTCTATGGTAAATTATTCGAAGATTTTTTTAATATTAGTTTATGAGTGGAAAAATCTTGATTTTCAGTCTGAAAACTTATTTTGCGTTTTTCTCATAATAGAGTTTTTGATTTTGACGTTTCCGTGCGTCCCAGATTTCTCCGCCATTTTAAACGCTAGAAAGCTGGGCTTGGTGTCAAAATGAAGGCAAAAGTTAGCTCTACAACTTAACAGAGCCGGATTTTTTGATTTTGCCCTTAATATTTATTGAAAACTAACTGTTCCAAACCTATACCCCCTGGGTTTTTCGTATTTTACCAGAGAAGTCTTCTAGAAACACAAGCTAAGAAAAAAACAAAAAATCGGGCCCTGTTAAGTTGTAGCGCCATGTCTGGGCTACATTTTAAAACCAACCCGAACTTTCTAGCATTTAAAGTGGCGGAGAAATTTGGGACGCACGGAACCCTAAATTTTGACCCATAAGCTTAAGCTAGCTCTTCGTACACTCAATATATCGAGCTGAAATTTTTACTGTAAGGTACCTAGCCCAAGATACACCTCCGCTGAAAATTTCATCAAGATTGGATGCTCAGAAAAAAAAATTTCGTTTAGGGGGGGGCCCCCTTAAGTTTTTCTTCTAGATTTGTTTGTGTACGATCTGTATTCCAAATAGCAATTAATAATGGATGGGGTTTATCCTTAAAAGCTCGATCTGTTGTTGTCGAAACAACATGGGGTGGGTGTGGGTGTGGGTGTGGGTGGGTGTGTGGGTAGGGGAGTCAGTTTCGGGTTCCGTTCCTAGGAACCCGGAACCCGGTACGAATTCCCGTTCCCAGGAACCCGGGAACCCTGAGTGACTTGCTTAAAACGAAAGAAAAAGTATGTCTATGAACTCAAACGCGTTCAAACATGCATAGAAATGAATAACCAAGTGGGTTCCCGTTCCTTGGGAACGGAACCCTTGAGGAACGGGAACCCTGACACCCCTATGTGTGGGTGTGAATGTGGACATCTTCTCATCACACACATCGACACTCACACCCACCCCACCCACACCCACACCCACCCACATTCACACCCACCCACACCCGCACCCACACCCGCACCCACACCCCACCCACACCCAGCCACCCCACACCCTAGCAGAATGTATGGGTTTGAGTGCCACAAAGGTCAACTTTTTCTTCGTTCTGTCACATAACATCAGTGACACTGCTTGTCCTTCCGTTATAAAGATGTGAAGCTAACAGTTTAGTAGTGCACAATTATTTTTTTAGTGAAGGGTACCCCAATATATTGTATATGATAACCTAAGGGTACCCCATTATATAGTAGTCGACGACCTAAGAGTGCTCCCAATATATAATAGTTGATGACCCAAGGATACCAATACATTGTAAATAATGACCTAAGAATACCTCCATTATATAGTAGTTCATGACCTCAGGGCACCATCAATATATGGTACTTGATGACATATGAACTTTAACTTTGAAGTAAAGTTAAAGTGTCACCCCTAATTGCTACGAGGAATCAATTGAAATCATGCGAAATCACTTGAAATCATCTGAAATCATCTGGAATCACCTGAAATCATCTGAAATCACCTGAAATCATTTGAAATCATGTGAAATCACGAAATCATGAAATCAGTTTGTTCCCCCTTGGCTCTAGCCGAAAACTCAGAACTTAAAAAAGTTCTAGTCAGAAAATCTAGAACTTTAAACAGTTCAACGTCTTTGGCTAGAACTAAGTAAGGTTCGGAAAATGGTGCCCAAATCTAAAACCCTAAAAGGTTCAGTTGTCCAACTTCTTTTTTTAAAGAATATGAGGCTTTGCTGAAAAATTCAGTAAAAATCCTGTGTCATAAGAATGAATGTCTGGAAAACCAAATCATCCTGGGTTTTTTGAACACTCATTAGCGCTCATCGAATGAACATAGTCTTGATCAAGAAACAATTTAGCGCTTGAAAAGGTTTCCTCGTGAGTTTTTAACGTTTCTCGAGAAGAATTCCAAAGTTGGAAATTATTCCCTCGACTGAAAGGAGGGTCATATGAAAAAAAATAGTTTGCT